TGAAAGGAGAAACCCAGGAATTTTCTGTGTTTTGGGATGATCAGTATGTGAAAATAAGCATCTTTCAGGTCGACGGAAAACAAACCAATCGTTTCTCTGGATGTTGTCCAACTGCTGTCTGGTTGTCAACATGTGAAATGGTCAGTCCATGATCGCCTTGTTGAAAACTGACAGATCCAAAATGGGTCTCATCCCTCCGGTCCGTTTGGGAACCAGGAAGTAACGTGAGTAAAACCTTGTGTTTTCCTCTCCGTTGGGAACTCTGGAGATTACTTCTTTTACCAGAAGTTCTTGGACTTCTGCATTTAGGGATGAGACCTGGTCTGGTGATGACAGGACCGTCTCTAAAATTCCTCCGAACGGAGGGGGTCGGGTTGCAAATTGCAAAGTATAACCCTAGCTTAACAACCTGGCCATCCATCTGTCTGATGAGCATGTTTTTAGCCACTCCGCGTAACGTTCGTGGAGTGGACGTGCGTTTAAGTGATGCGTCATGTTTTGAACGGATGTCATCCAGTCCACCGCCTCGACCGTCATCATGTGTCGCGGGAATGTGTTCCGTGAGACCCAAGGCGAGGCTTCTCTTCTGTGCTGCGTTCAGACCATGGGTCCACCTTGTGTTGAGGAGAAGCGTGTGACAGCTGATGACGCCGCTGGCCCCCCGCATTTGATGCCACTGCGGTGAAAAATGCGTGTCGCTCCTGCCGCGAGCGGGGTCCTGCGCTGGGCTCGCTTTGCGGTCCCGCATTTAAGCTGCCGGGCACTGAGAAGCGGTGAATGCGACTTCATCTACGCCGTGCCGTTTGAGTGAAAGCTGCGAGCCCCGCGGGAGCTCGCGTCTCCTTTGGTGGGACACGCGCCGCTCTCGCTGGGGCGAGATTGGTCACTGGGTTCGCTCAGCTGTCTCACGTTAATGCTGACGTGAGCGGCCGAGCGCTGAGGAGTGGTGAGTGAAGACTGCCCCCGCCGCGGCGGCACACGTTTGCTTGGTTGCGGCGTGTGTCGCTCTCGCTGAGAGCAAGGTCCTCCACCGACCCGACCTGCGGCCCATATTTATGCCGCTGTGAGCCGGTGAGCGCCGGGGAGCTGTGTGTGCACCATCATCAACGCAACACCGTTTGGGTGAAGAGTGTTTGCGTCGCGCGAGTGCGTGTTTGACACCGCTTGGGTGAAGATCGTGCAGCTCAGGTTGACTACGAGTTGTTTCGCTTATGTTGGATTTCATGTTTTATCTTTTATTATTATTTTAATCAAGCTTGAAATTTAATGTTATAAAATGAGTGTGTCATTCTTTGAGGGGTTTTTATTACCTTACAATCATTTAAGTATTAATCAGTTACTTTGCTTAAATAGAATATTAACTTCAGGTAGTTTGTTTAAATATAATCTTACATTAACTAGAGAAAATCTTCAGCTAATTCACATTATTATAAGTTCTCACTCACACACACATACGCAATCACACACACAGGGACTGACACGCACACACACAAGATGAGAGACGTTAAGAGTCTCTGAACACATTTCTCTACTTTAAACTCAATGTAGTTTGCTTAAACTTAATATAGCTGACTAAACATAATTAGTAAAGATAATAGAAAGTAGCATTTAATCGTTTAACAAGTGTGATCAGCTCAGGGTAAAATCTTCAGCTAAAAACACCGGCTAAACAAAGGGCCATAAACTTTATCTTTCGGTATGTGACCTCCAAGACTTATCTGCCAGGCAGAGGAGCCCCGTAACCATGACAACGGGGTGTTTAAACCAATCAGAAGCCGAGGCTGTAGAAAATCTAGGATAAGGAACAGAGTCACAGCAGAGGTCGTTGCATTTTGCTGGAAGATTGGAGCTGATACAGGTCTGTCTGAGAAATGCCCATTTGTATGCATACAAATGTATTTGTTTTGATCTTCTGAATACTTGTAATCCGTTGTCCAATAAATCTTTTGAACTAAGGTACCGCTTCAGCTGCATTGAACACCAATGTGGTTCTTATAAGCCACATCACTTACCACTGTTGTGTTCTGTGAGCGCCTCGACATGTCTGGAGCTGCGGTGAGTTTGAAAACCCTTTATTTAAGGACACCGGCTCATTTTTGTGGAGGATGTGTGCGCAGCCGCTGTGAGTTCATACAAGCTTACAGACTGGCTAAACACAGACACTTGATCATTAAATGAAGTTTTATTCAACATTGTATGATCTTCACACACACCCTCCGCAGACCGTCATTTTGAATCTTTTTCCCGATGAGCTCTGGGATTTGTTGGCCCAGGGCGCCGTCTGCTGGGGATCTCTGGGAAAACATTGGACACTGTTGCCGGGATGAAAAGGGCCGGGCTCTGATGGGTGGGGCTGCGGTGAAGCTCAGCGAGACGGCTGTGGAACGTCTTGCCACCGGCTCATTTCGTGTGGAGGATGTGAGAGGGAGCCGCTGTCAAGTCATCCGATCTGACAGACTGGCTAAAAATAGACACTTTCATCATTATATGATGTTTACTCCAAACTCGTGTCACCTCCACACACATCCTCCGCCAAAACCGTCATTTGCGCTGCCATTTGTTGTCCTAGAGCGCCATCTGTTTGGCGGTCTTAGGGAAACGCTGAAAACTCCATCCTCCAGCTGCAATGCGGGCCGGCAGACAGCAAAGAGGTGCACCGGTTGGGGATGACGTCAGCTGCCCTGCAGACGGAACGTACATCTCTTCCCGCCTCTGAACGTGTACGCCAACAGTGTAACGTGTTGTTTGCTGGGCCCGTCTGGAACGCATGCTGGTGAGCTCAGTTGGAGAGCGGTGTCACCGTCTGGGTTACGCTAACCGTAGGTGCGGGACGCTGGTCCACCTGGACATCTTGCTCTGATGAAGCCTCTGTCAGGCTTGGCTCCAGGGGGCACTGAGGGAATTTCCGCTCGGTGAAACCCTTGCTCTGGAGATGGGCGTGGACTGTGGAGACCGGCCCCCCAATCAGACTGAGGAAGTCTCTCGGATGAGAGACGAAACGTTTCTACATTTTTTTTTGTTGATTTGCTTTGTTTTGTTTTTTTGAATATCCAGAGGACCAGATTTAACTTTTTTAGATTTTTCTACCTGGATTATTGAGCATGCATCAGGATAAATAAATAAACCTTCCCGCCAGATCATCCGAACTGGCGGGAAAGGCGCGGGACATAAAAAAGGGTCCCTTAATGTCAGCAGCCTCCTGGGTTACGCTGGGCAACCCCAGAGGGCGCCGTCAGCTGGGAGCGGTGTGATCGCCGATGCGAAACAAGGTGGGATGAGGTGAGCATTCGCTCAGCCCCCCTCCACCGACACTACGTCTCCAGGAGGGAATGAGCAGCGGGGCTGCAGCTGAACGCCGCATGTCCCGGAGGAACCATCCGATTCGCTCCGAGGATCGGCGATAAGAGGAAAATTACAAGATGGCGTTGTCCAGCGTGTAGCGACCTGTAGCTTACCTTGAAACTAGACTGCTCGTCAGCTTCTCCTCAGGGAGGAGAGCTCACCAGGACGACCGAAGGTCAACGTGACGGGCCAAGCATTCTTAACAAAGATTGGTCATCTACACAACTTACCTTCTTCGTTCTTCTGACAGTGCTATTAGCTCGCTGAAGAAAAATGGGAGCCGATTACCCGCTCTTAACGTAATTTATACGGACCGGGTGGGGCTCACACAGCAGGTGGGCGTGGACTAAATTTTTCAGTGTAATGCTCCGCATATCAGGATAAAACCCATCAGCGACAGCCTTAAAGGGCTACGCCTATATTCATAGAATCTGGGGTTACAGTACGTAACCAATGGTTTATCCCCTTCACGCACAGCGCAGCACTGAAAAAACTTTAGTCCACGCACACCTGCTTTGTAGGCCTCAACCCCAGTCTGTATAAATTACGGTGAGACTGGGTAATCGGCTCCCAAATAGCTTTTTCTTCAGCCATTTAAGAAACAGTGAGGCCCAGAACTTAAAGGGCTACGCCTATACTCATAGAATCTGGGGTTACAGTACGTAACCAACATTTTGTGTTGTTAACATTCTAGAAAACAAAACCTGATGGGCATGTCAGTAGGTAAGGGGCGTTTACCTTCAGGAGAAATTGCGGTCGTTGATTGGTCAGTTGGGCAGCACGGTGGCGCAACTGGTAGAGCTTCTGCCTCTCAGCGAGCAGGTCCTTGGTTCAAACCCCGGTCCAGGGGCCTTCTGGGTGGAGTTTGCATGTTCTCTCCGTGCATGCGTGAGTTTTCTCCGGGTACTCCGGTTTCCTCCCACAGACCAAAAACATGCATGTTAGGCTGATTGGTAACTCTAAACTGTCCCTAGGTGTGAGTGAGAGAGTGAATGGTTGTTTGTCTCGTTTGTCTCTATGTGTCCCTGTGATGGACTTGCGACCCATCCAGGGTGTACCCCGCCCCTCGCACAGTGATTGCTGGACATGGGCACCAGCGACCCCTGTGACCCAAAATGGAATAAGCGGGTAAAGATAATGGATGGATGGATTGGTCAGTTGCTGACATGCCTACTAGATTGGTTGACAGGTCGCACCGTGGAGGATTGAAAAAAAAAAACACGAGAGCTGCAGCAGCCGGCGCTGGGGGGAGGCGGGGCGACCCAAATGCAGCAGAAGCTCAGCAGTCTCTCTGCGCAGCACAGGGCTCCAAGATGACCAGATATTTTGCTTGTGCCCTCACTGCCCTGGGCCCCTTTGACATCGTGGGTCCCTGGGTACTTGTCCAGTTGACCATATGGTTAATCTGGCCTTGGGTATGTCATGAATAAAGAGGACAGAGTGAGATGGAGAAGGATGACTCACTGTGTCGACCCCTGAAGAGGGAAGAAGAAGACTTTAAACACCATGTATCATCTATCTCATAAATTAAAGTGTTGAAAGCAAAAAATGTTGCTTGGTAAACATTGTCGAGCATTTAAATTTGTAACAAGATCAGCCATCAGTTTTCACTGTTTGATGGCCCTCAATATTGTTTAGGTAATGTTTGTGTCTTTTAGGCATGCATTCCATGGATTAGTCCTTCTCCCGCTGATCTATTTCTTGTTTGTGCGACGTAACCCCTTTGCTGTCATGAAGCGGGTCTTCCATGCCTTACTGACCGCAGTTCTCATCTCATCCAGGTAAGCTGGCCTCACAGCGTTCATTGACATGGAGGAGAAGACTTTTCTTCATGTGGATGGTATACAAATAAAGGTTCTGTTTTTTCTCACAGCTCTGCCACTCTGCCAATCACCTTTCGTTGCTGTGAGGAGAAACTGAAGTTTGACAGAAGAGTCACTCGTCTCATGCTGCCCATTGCGACCAACGTCAACATGAATGGAACCGCCCTTTATGAAGCTTGTGCAGCTGTTTTCATCGCCCAGCTTAACAATATCAATCTGGAGTCCAGTCAGATAATAGCCATCTGGTATGCCATGGTTTTTGTTGTTATAGTAAAAACTTTAGAATAAGATTGTTATGAGGAAATGTCTGCTGTATTCTGCTGCATTGTGTTCCTGAAAAACTTCTTACAGCAGGGCTATTCAGATGACGGGTCACTTAAGGCCCACGGTTGACTTTAAGTGCGGTTTGCCAATAAGTTCATTAGTGAAAAAAAAAAATTATCAGAAAAAAATCTGCGAGAGAGACCTTTAAAATATTTGAAATTGCAAAACATTTCAATCATCGAGCCAATCCTGTGTCGTGGAAAAACTGAGATTTCCAAACAAGACCAAGGTGTAGTTCATCAGATTTATTTACAAAGCTTTGGGGAACATTCCAGCATTCACGGAAGATTAATGCAATACCAAGATCACACTCTTCTCAATGCCTTCATCCGTCTGAAACACTGACCTGTTCTAACTTCCTAGACCAGAAAAGTTACTTTTATAGAATAACCTCCAGCTCAGCCCTCAGCCCCTCCCTTTTATGTCTGAGCCATCATCAAAAGGTCTGCTGCAGACAGGATGGAGTGGATCTGAGTTAAGGACTCTGCTTGAAGACATGTCACCATATCATATCAATTGTATCATCCATCCATCCATCCATTATCTTTACCCGCTTATTCCATTTTGGGTCACGGGGGTCGCTGGTGCCCATGTCCAGCAATCACTGTGCGAGGGGCGGGGTACACCCTGGACGGGTCGCAAGTCCATCACAGGGCCACATAGAGACACACGAGACAAACAACCATTCACTCTCTCACTCATACCTAGGGACAATTTAGAGTTACCAATCAGCCTAACATGCATGTTTTTGGTCTGTGGGAGGAAACCGGAGCACCCGGAGAAAACCCACGCATGCACGGAGAGAACATGCAAACTCCACCCAGAAAGGCCCCTGGACCGGGGTTTGAACCAAGGACCTGCTCGCTGAGAGGCAGCAGCTCTACCAGTTGCGCCACCGTGCTGCCCTCAATTGTATCATATCGGTATCAAATCAATTAAACCTTGAGGATAATGAAACTAGTTCTTTCTGTTCTTCACTGACCAAAACTGATTGTTACATGGAACACTTTATCATTCATATCACAGTATAGGACAAAAAGGCATGGAGCATGGCGAGTGCAAATAATACACATTACCTTGACACGTTTTATGTGCCCATCTCAATTTTCAACATTTTCACAAGCATACAGAAGTACACTTCATGAAGAGTCCTCTCCCCAATGAAAGCAATGACACAACACTGTGCTAGGCCAAGCCAGGCCTCACCCTTGTGAATTCATTCTTCAGTAAGGATACTCAGTGCATTGTGCTTTCCTCTTTATATGTACCGGGAACAACCTCTATAAACTCTTCATATCAGTGTGTGATTGCCCATGAGCCAGATTAAGTAAGAGAAAAGGGATTCATTACTGGGAGAATACTGATGAGGATGCACAGCAGCTTTTTATTTAATTTAAAAAATATTTAACTACAAGTAAGATCAATTTTTATTTCTTTTGAAAAGTGTGTAGTATTGGCAAGTTAGAGATGGCAGAACAATATTTATCTTAAATAGGAGGCATTATATGTTATTTGTTTTTAATATTGTCTCACATTAGAATATCACTAATTTTGTTGCAAGGAAATAAATCTTGAAATGTAATTTCACTGAATTTCACTTTTGTATTGTTTATTGCATTATGATTGAATGCAGCAAAATAAACAAATTTAAAAGTTAACATATCGTAATACTTGGTTTATTTACATAATGACTAATCGTTGGCTGTCCAATCCCTGAGCTACTGGCTTTCAATAACTCTGGCCCCCTGAGCAGTTTAGTTGAAGAACCCTGTCTTACAAAGTGTGTGGTTGGTTTGCAGTGCGACTGCAGTCGTCTCCACCTTAGGAGCAGCAGGGATCCCAGCTACAGGAGCTGTGACCACGCTCTTTATTTTGACAGCGGTTGGTCTCCCTGCGAGAGATGCCTCCCTTCTGGTAGTTTTGGAATGGCTTCTGTAAGTATAATCTTCTGCTCATAGGTCGTATTGCTTAAACAAGAGTGCACTGTTTATCCACGTAGCTTACCTGAATGACATAACTTTGACCTCCAGGACTGATATCAGAACAATTTGACTTTTTTTTTTACCACAATTTTATGTGTAACTCACAACTCGCTCAACTTTAGGAACATCATGCTGAGGAATGATGCAGAAAAACGTTTCTTACTTCCTGAGTTGACTGCCTCAGTTTTTAGGTGTAGTCTGCTCCAGATATTTGTCAATTTGTCAAAGAGAATTGCAACCACCATGCTAGGGATGGTCTTCTCAGCACAATGTGAGGTATTAGGTTTATCCCAGACATGGTGTTGTCCTCGATGAACAAGAAGTTCAGTTTTAGTCTCACATGACCATCTGGGGAATAAATTCCAAGCAGATTGTTTTCATTTGTTTCAGTTTATTTGTTCAAAGTTCAAAAAGCCTTTATTATTCCCCCTTGTGAGAAATTTGTTCTGGATAAAATAGTATGTTGCACAATAAACACATTCTACATAAAAACCCACATGCATTACATTTAAACAGATAACCCATCCTACCACACACAATACAAAGTTACCTATATAAATTCCCTGTCCCTGTTTGTCCCGAGTCATCCGCTCATTGATGAGCGCCACTGAAAGAGAGGTGAATGAGTTCTTGTAACAACTGTCCATCCCGGTTTCCTGCTCCAGCTTTGAGCTGAGCGTCTTTGAACTCGGCCATTCGCCTTTGACACTTTGTGCACTTTACCACCCCCTTCGATCCAAGGATTTCATAAATGAATTATCTGACTTCCTGGTTGTAATCACACCGAAATATGATCATGTTTTGATCATTGGGGACTTTAATATTCATGTTTGTTGTCAGGAGAAGCCCTTGGTTAAAGACTTTTTAGATTAATTGGACTCATTTGGTCTGGCTCAGCAGGTGGATGGTCCCACCCAGGAGTGCGGGCACACACTGGACCTTGTTTTAACACGCGATGTGACTGTTAGTTGTTTTGAAATCGATGATGATGTGTTTTCAGATCACTTTTTTATTTTTTTTCATTTAGCCTTTATTTATCCAGGTTAGTCTCATTGAGCCACGAGAACTCATTTTCAAGAGAGACCTGTTTAAGGAGCACATGGTGGGGGTTAAGGGCCTTGCTCATGGGCCCAGAGTGGGGCAAATGAGGGTGGGGGCAAGTGTGGGTGTTTCACCTACCCCACCCACAATTTTTGATGTTGTCGGGGCGTGAACCGGCGATCTTCGGATCACAGGCCCACCTCTCTAACCTCTGCGCCACCACTCCCCCAGTCCTGTATGAGTTCACTTCCCCCCGTCTAACTCCTAAGCCGTGCGCTCTTGCATGTCACAGCCGGGCCATTAACCCCTTCACTGCTGCGCGTTTCACAGATGTCTTTAACTCGGAAAAGACTAATCAGCCCCCAGTGTTTCCTACCACCACTGATGAGTTAACCTCCCAGTTCAACTCTGTCTGCTTAAAGGTTCTGGATCATGTTGCTCCTTTTTAAACCAGAAAAACGAAACTCGGATGAGAACCTTGGCATAATGACGTCGCCAAGGCCGTTTATTATTTATCGCAATAATTTTTGAGACAATTGCCCTGCAAAAATTTTTATCAGGACAGGCTTATGCACACTGTAGTCCAGAAGCATTCATTTATATGTTCAGTAAAAATTGGAATATATACGTTAAATACGTTAGTTTTTAAATGCCATCCTGAATGTCATTTGAGTCAGATGTTATTCATCAAATTTTAAATTCAGTTCAGTTTATTTATTTAGTGCCAAGTCACAACAGAAGTCATTTCAGGCACTTTTAGGAGTTTCTCTGTACTTTGTCAAAATGTGTAGCTCACTGTGAGAAAACATTAATCTCTTTTAAAAAATTTGTTTGCCTTAGGGACCGCTGCAACACTGTCATGAATGTCTGGGGAGACTGCATCGGCGTGGCCCTCATTCACCACTTGTCACAGAAAGAGCTGGTTCATAAAGAACTGGAAATGACAAGGTGAAATCTCAGCTCCTGAAGCCCCTAATCTTGCATTTATTCACAGTTGCATCTTTCTAATAGGCTTTTTATTTCAATGATACAAGTAAAATGTCCCAGAATATCATTAATTAATTAAGGATCCTCTCTTACTACTATTTACGTAGTGTTGTCAATCGATTAAAAATGTAAATTTAGAAATGTAAATATGCCGGTTCTTATAAAATGTTAAAGAAAATGTATGATCGTCTCAAACCAAACAGTTTTCCAGGTTTTCATACTCATCAAGGTTTACAAAAGTCATTTTGTTTCAAACATTAATTTAGAAATGTTAACTCAAATGTCTCATTAAGTTTCATTTGTGTGCTCAAAACATGTAAACAGCAATGTTCCCTCTAATTTTTCATGTGTATGGGCACAAGCTCCCTGAGCATCTGAGCATCCCTCTGCATCCTCTGTCCTCACTCCAACTACCTCCTTGTCCTCTAACTGCATGCATACATCTCTTCTTTGGCCTTCCCCTTTGTCTTTTTCCTGGCAGCTGCATTTCTAACATCCTTCTACCAATATACCCACTGTCCCTCCTCTGGACATGTCCAAACCCATCTCAGTCTGGCCTCTCTAACTTTATCTCCCAGTTGTTCAACCTGTGCTGTACCTCTGATGATCTCATTCTTAATCTTATCCATCCTTGTTACTCCTAAGGAGAACCTCAACATCTTCATTTCTGCCACTTCCAGTTCTTTCTCCTGTCTTTTTGTCAATGTCTCCAGACCATACAGCATAGCTTTTCTTACCACTGTCTTGTAAACTTTTCCTTTGACCATCCAGATATACACTTATACACAGAGCAATACTGTTTGCCAACACTTAGCATGATAAAAATGGTTACAAGTTGTGGGATTAGCTTATTTACCGCCTTTGTTTGATGTATGTATGACCATAAACTTCTGTGATAAATCCACAATGCCAAATATTATTCCTCGGTATGTGATGAAATATGCAGTGTAAAGCTTGGAAAACGCTAGAAGCCAAGGAGGTTGCTTGTAGCTACTTGGCTTCTTTGCACATCAGTGCCAAAACTCCAGAAGACGATGTTTGGCTGGAGTGAAATTTTGCATGCGTTCATTGGTTGAATTTTGTACCTCTTGGTAAACTTCCGTTGTCACTACACCAGGGGTGGGCAAACTTTCGGACTCGTGGGCCACACTGAGTTCTAAAATTGGAGTGAAGGGCTGGGCCAGGAACAGATGGATGGAGTGTTTGTGTGATGTTATACCACAGCGCAATAACAGCTGCCAGGATGCTATTTATTATGGGTGATTCCACATTCTGCACCACTCAAGCAGCCACTAAGTCAGGATTATGTGATAGAACAGTGATTTTATTTACAATAGTGAAATTATTGACTTTGTGAAGTCTTACCAACTTCAGGCCCAAACAACAAACAAAACAAACCACTGCATTTTCTTTTACCTGAAGAAAAATAAAATTCACCAAACCACACATCTTTTACCTCACTTTAATATATACATATATATATATGTATATACACATATTGTAACGAACCCCCAAATGTCTGGACCAAAATCACCACAAACACCAAGACTCAGGTTAAAAAATTTATTTTTCTTGGTGGGGCCTTGCCTCTCAAAGTGAACCTGGCTCTGGTGTCGGTCTCAGGGTAAACGACTGGAACGAGTCTAAGGACAGGGAGAGAACGGTTAGTGGCCCGACAGGAGACAGAAGCAAAAGCAAAAGTCAGAATACGGAAACCACTAACCGTTACTCTGTCAGGAGGGGGTTCAGAGGAGCTGAGATGTTCCAGCACGGTGGGATCGTTGCAGGGGGGATGGTCCTGGTGAGAGGAGACAGCCAGCTGCAGTGAAGAGCTCGAGGATGGATGGGAGGAGATGACACACTGGTCCGTGAGGCGTGAGGCGAAGTCAATCAGGCGAGGGTCGAAACCGGAGATCAGAAGAACGTCAGTCCAAAGCAGGAGCAGGCGAGGAGGCAGTGTGAAGGAGGCGTAGGTCGGTGCCGATGAATGGAGGTGTAGATCCGGTGAGGAGCGGTCTAGAGGCGAAGTCAGGCGAGCGAAGGTCCCAGAACGAGAAGTCAGCACGAGGAGGCGAGGATACATAAACCAAGGAGCGGGACAGGAGCAAGGAATGCAAAAAAACAAAAACTGGACAGGAGGGGAACTATGAAAAAGAAACAAAACACTACAAGGGAAACCGGAAACTATGAGCGCTGGATAACTACTTGCAGTAAAACTGTGTTCGACTATCTGGCACTTACCCTTCTTCTTCTTCTTCTTCTTGTCTTTTTATGGCGGTTGGCAAACAGCTTAAGGTGCATTACCGCCACCTTCTGGATTGGAGTATGGACAAGATTCTAAAAAAAAACCAACTAAATCCTTTCCAAATTCCCTGTTCTTCTCAAAAACCTAAAGATGCTGTTAAAACTTATATCCCCAGACGATCTTTGCAGCAATTCCTTTATCTCTAATTTAGTTGTATTTAATTCTCTTTTTAACATTTCTCTTTCGTGTGTATATTTATTGCATTCCATGAAAATGTGTTCTATTGTTTCTGTTTGTCCACAGTGATTACAACAACCTGTATCATGTTTGTTAATTATTTTCAGTGTGCTGTTTAATCCCGTGTGCCCAAATCTCATCCTCGATATTATATCTTCTTCTTTCTTTATTCTATTACCTTTCCTTGAGTCCCCAACTGTTTTCTGGATGCTATAATAATACCTAGCACTACTTTCTCTATCCCATTGCTCTTGCCATTTATTTTTACAATATAGTTTTATTATATTCTTGACCTCACTTTTACTTATTTTAATATTTAAATCCACGTTGGTTTTTTTTGCAGCATTCTTAGCAAATTTGTCCGCCAATTCATTTCCTACAATCCCAATGTGAGCTGGAATCCATAATAATTTGACATCAGACCCATTACTTTTAATCCTGAAAATTAATTGAGTTATTTCTAATATAATATCTTGCCTTGAGTTTGATTGTGCCTCCTGAATACTTATTATTGCGCTACTTGAATCTGAGCAAATAATGACCTTTTTTCCTCCACTGTCTTCGACCCACTCTAAAGCCATACAGATTGCCACTAATTCTCCTGTATATACTGTTAGTTTATCAGGTATTCTTTTATTTCTCATAATATTTAAATCTGGTATTACAAAAGCTACACCAACTTTATTATTTATCATTTTAGATGCATCTGTATAGATTTGAATATATTGTGAATATTCCCTGTCTATGTATCTTTCCACTGTAGTACTATCTAATTCTCTCCCTCGTTTCAATAAGCTTAGGTCAGTGGTGATCTGTCTAGTGATCCATGGTGGGACAGTAGGAAGAGCAACCGCAGGACTAATTTGAAAATTATTTATTCTGACATTTTCAGTTTTATCTATGATTTTCCATCCAAAACTGTTAAATTGTTTCTTTTCTTTTTCTTGACACGGTTGAAGAGTGTTTAGTGGAGGATGAGTTTCATTATGCCCTTTAATATTGGCCCAGTAAGTTACGGCTATTTGTGTTCTTCTAAATTCTAGTGGCATTTCCCCCATCTCAACCTGCAGAGCTGAGACTGGGGTAGTTTTCATAGCTCCACAACAAAGCCTTAAAGCTTGATATTGTATTCTGTCTATTTGTTTTAGTAACGTGTTTGAAGCTGAATTATATAAAATACTTCCATAGTCCAAAATTGACCTTATTAACCCAACGTATATTGTTTTTAATGCTTTCCTATCTGCACCCCATTCTTTACCTCTCAAACATCTAATTATATTTAGAACTTTTTTGCACTTTCCTACAATATTATCTATGTGTATTTTCCATGTAAGTTTTTTATCAAACCAGATGCCTAGATATTTGAATTGATCTATTCTTTCGATGTTGTCCCCATACAGTTTGAGACTGATATTAGGATTTAATTTTTTATTTGTAAAAACAACAAATTTTGATTTGGATGTTGAAAATCTGAATCCCCATTCTAATGCCCACTTTTCTACATTATTTAATGCCTCTTGTACTTTCCTTTCAATAAATTCTGTATTCTTGCTCCTTTTCCAAATAACCCCATCATCTGCATATAATGAGACGCCACAAGATTTATCTACATTCCTAAAAATATCATTAATCATTATACTAAATAATATTGGACTAATTATACTGCCTTGGGGAGTACCATTTTCCATTTGATAATTTGAACTTATTTCACCGTTTATTTTTACACTGATAATTCTTTCAGTTAAAAAATTTTGTATCCATCTAACTATTTTACCTTTTAAACCCATTTGTTTTATTTTAATCAATAACCCTTCCCTCCACAACATGTCATATGCTTTCTCCACATCCAGAAAAACTGCAATCACACTTTCCCTATTAGCCTGGGCCCGTCTAATTTCATGTTCCAGACATACTGCTGGATCTATCGTACTTCGCCCTTTCCTAAATCCAAATTGATATACCTTTATTTTCTCCTTAGATTCTAAAAAATAATTTAGTCTGTTATTTATCATTTTCTCCATAACTTTACCTACACATGATGTTAGAGCAATTGGTCTATAACCTTCTGCTAAATTTACATCCTTCCCAGGTTTACAAATAGGGACAATAATGGCTTCTTTCCATTTGTTTGGTAGTTTTCCTTCCTCCCACACCTTATTATATAATTCTAATAATATTTCCTTACTCACATCACTAAGATTATTCAGCATGCAATAATTAATTTGATCTTTGCCCGGAGTTGATTTTTTGGAATTCTTCAATGCTTTATTTAGTTCTATTAAAGAAAATTTCATATTAATAGCATCCTCATTATCTTCATCATTATCAAGCAACTCAATATTCCTCCTTAACGTTATTTCACGTCCTCTTTTTTCATTATTATTCAGATTCTCCGTACTATGTATTTTTGCAAATACTTTAGCTAATGCTTCAGATTTACTTTTATTATCTATTATAATATTTCCATTATCCTTAATTATTGGGAAATAATAGTCTCTTGAGTTCCCAGACATTTTTTTAATAGTATTCCATACCCTATTTAATGGAGTATTTTTCCCCAGTGACTCACAGTATTTTCTCCAATAATCCCTTTTAGCATTTCTCATAATTTTCCTAACTTCTGCTTGTTTCCTTTTATAAGTTATCAGATTCTGGAAACACATATTCTTTTTCAAAGCTTTAAATGTCTTATTTCGCTGTTTAATTGCTGTTGTGCATTCTAATGTCCACCATGGTACTAACCTCTTCTTTTTGATTCCCTTACTTTTAGGTATAGAGCTTTTGGCTGTATCAATTATAGATCTACTAATTTCCAAGTTCAATTCATTTATTGGTTTATTTGTATCTATATTTTTCATATTGATCTCGCTAATCATGTTAAATTTGTTCCAGTCTGCCTTTTCAAATTTCCATCTCCCTTCAATCTCTATTTGGCCTTGCTCTGTATCTATTCCTATGTTGATAAAAATTGGGTAATGATCACTACCTACTGTGCTTTCTGTGCTTACTCTCCAACTGCTAATATCAGCTAGAGGTTGGGAAACCAACGTTAGATCAATAGCAGATTCTTTACCCCTAACAAAATCCACCCGAGTGCCTAATCCGTTATTTAATATTACTAGCTCCTTTTCTTCAATTATATCTTCTAGAATCCCGCCGTTATAATCATCTTGATTACCCCATAATGTGCTATGTGCGTTGAAGTCCCCACACCAAACTATTTTCCCTCTCCAGTGTTCTATGATTGATTCGAGTTTTGATTTTTCTAATTGTTTGCATGGATTGTAATAATTTATGATTTTAATATTACCCTCATTTGTCCAAACTTCTATAGCAATGACTTCTAGATCCGGTGTTGTATGGATTTGGATAAATTTCAGATTTTGTTTTATGAATATAGCACAACCTCCTCCACTCCCTCTACTCCTATCTTTGCGCAGGACTGAATATCCATGAATGCTAAACTGTAATGCTGGTTTGAGCCATGTCTCTTGAATGCATATAATGTCCGGTTTTGTAGTTAAGGTATTAATGAAGCCTTTAAATTCCTGACCATTTGCTATGAGACTGCGGGCGTTCCATTGTAATATTAAAATTATGTGATGTTTTGAGAAGCCTCAGCCTCAGACGATCCTTCTCCAGTGAGTTCATTGTGGATTTTTTCCCAAGACAAATCTTTTACATTAAAAAACCTTGCTGCTGCCTTTACAATAATCTTTATTTTTTCCGTTTTAGTCTTTGCCTGTTCTGAGCAGTTTATGATGTATGCCATGAATGGAATCAGTTTTTCTAGTGTGATATTTTCTTGGTTGTTATCTGTAGTTTTCTTTTCTCCATAGTTTGTTTTCTGAACGGTTTCCTTGCTGTTTACCACTTTCACTGCTTCTGCATATGTAATGTTCTTGTCTGTTTTGATTTGTTGAACTTCAACTGCCTTTTTTCTTATCACACATCCTGCATATGCTGCAGTATGACTTTCCCCGCAGTTACAACATTTGACAGGACTATTCCCACACTCACCATACGGATGTTCACCCCCACATCTACCACACCTCTGTTTCCCTTTACAAACATTAGCAATATGTCCGTACCTTTGGCATTTGAAGCACCTGAGAGGGGGTGGAATATAGACTCTCACATTAAAGCTCATATAACCTACCATTACTCTTTCTGGCAGAACTTTATTTTTGAACTCTAGTAATATTGGCGTACTGTCCACTTTTTCTCCATTCCTGGAGGCCTGTAATCTTTTCATGCCTGTAATATCTCCTCCTTTTATTACTTTCTTTAACTCATCCAGATTTTCACCAACAGGAATTCCTGTAATTACTCCTCTTACTCCTCTT